TACCTTATCTTTCTAGTCTTTTCTGCAGTACTTGCTTAACGGTCTTGCCTACCCGTTTCGTCGATTTTGTTTACCTCTCATGTGTACTTGTATTAGCTACGTCAGAGTTTTGTTTATGCCTTTCTGCCTATCCTCTTGTTTGCCTCTCACGTAAATGTCTCGGCCTGTCTACATTTGCCTTTGTCTTTGACTTCTTGTATGTTGTAATCATGTCTCCTTTGCTGCGTTAAGCCTTAAAGGACGTGGCGTTCAGTTTATGTTAATATGCAAATTGAGTTTCCCAGTGAAACCTTGGGAGCATTGTTGATTTATATGCGAATTAAGCTCTTGAGCAATATAGTTCTATGTAGTGAATATTTATTTTTATAGATGGGAGGAAAGTCTAGCTCTTGGGCCTGCAACAGCCAGGTTGAACAGTTAATCAACAAGGATGCTTGGCCTAAGGCTAGGCTGTTAGTATAGAGAAACCCTCAAAACCGTTCACAGGTATATTATTGGTGTGTATGCTTAATACCTTATCATGGATCATTGCCTGATTTAGTTCCGTGTCTGGAGACACTGTCTTGTTTCTTGTCAAACAAAACAACAACACCACTCGCGAATTTTCCTCGCGATATTTAAAATTGATTTAATAATTTTGTAATCATCTTGGATGCAAACAAAATAACTAAATTCAGTGTGTTTTAACTGACTGTATTTACTTTGATATGTACAGTAGACCTGTCCTCCTTGTTTACTGAGGTTAATATCGACAGTCTGTGAGCACAATGATACAGAAAACACCTTTATCAAATCTTAGTTTGATAGGTCTGTTATGCGCCCTAAAGCCTTTCTGTCGGCATTAATCAACAAGATTACAGAGGCACATCCTTGACTGAACAGTTCAAAATTTGAAATCATGATAGTAGCGATGGCTGGAATATCCGTCTCTAAACCCACATGCGTGTGTCTCTTCTTGCTTACCTTCTGTTCATTACTCAAATGTTTAAAAAAAAAATACTCAAGGTCAGGAAGGTAATCAAGCGGAAACGTAAGAAAAAAAGGGGAGGAGGGGCAAGTTTAGAACACAACTCTCATATTTACTGGAAATGTGTGAAATGTTGGTTCTAGGATCTTTGAAGCGACTCTAGTAATTCTGTGGTCAATCCAGCCACGTTTGAGTCGTCTTTAACAATATTGTTAAATTATTATTAAAACCTTTAATTGTTAATTGGAGAGATTGTTAGCCCTCCGTCCCACATGGCTGGTGGACCTCCATCCCACCTGGCTGACCCTCCATCCAACTTGGTTGGTCCTCCACCCCACATGGAGGACCCTCCATCCCACATGGCCGACCTCCACCCCACATGGCTGACCCTCCATCCAACTTGGCTGGCCGTCCATCCCACCTGGCAGCATCACTGACAACCAAGAGTGATGGAGAGCTCTTGGTCCCTAGCTCCACCCTAATGGGTGCGTAGCGTGTGTCTTCTGTATTTGCTTGCCCGATATATGAGCGAGCCCTAACCCCTTCACCGTAGCCCCATCATTGCCCTTTCTCCTCTTACCCCCCACCCTTCTTAAGATCCCTTTCTTTCTCTAGATCCCCCTTTCACTACCATTCAATTACCCCTATTTTCTACTTCCTCTTTCTCCCCACTACCTCTTAGTGCATGTCGTCTTCTCCCTCTCCTGTTCCCCTCCTACTTGCTATGCCTTCACTGAATTCAGTGTACAGATAAGATAGACAGCTTACTCGAAAATCTTAAAAATCCTACACCAAATATTTTGACAAAATCTCTCATTTGAAGATTGCAATAATACAGCAAAGGTTAGGAAAAGACAGTAGATTACGAGAGCTTCCTAAACAAGAATAATAATGATGTTCTTACGTATCTGAGTAATATTGTGCTCATAGTGCCTTTCAAGGCAGGAGAGACAGCAGAAGCTGGAAAATGTAATGGTCGTATACTGACAGCATATTCGATAAAAACCTTAAAACTACCGGGGTACGCCTCAGAAACACTTGGATTGTTCTTTCTGGAATGAAGAAGAAAGAAATACCTGATAATATATACATATGCTTTACTCGGTGGCCTGGTTTGTTACCTACATAGCAAGACTCAACCTACTCTTATAGGATATCAGAAATACTAAGCTGGAAAGCTTTCTTCTAGTATTGCCGAAACACTCGGCTTGTGATGGCTACTATAAACAGCTTGGTTGGCAGGCGGTCTACAGGAGAACCTGGCCTCGGGTCGAGCAGTGAGGTTACCTGGAGGTTATTCCAGGGATCAACGCCCCCGCGGCCCGGTCCATGACCAGGCCTCCCGATGGATCAGGGCCTGATCAACTAGGCTGTTACTGCTGGCCGCACGCAGTCTGACGTACGAGCCACAGCCCGGCTGATCCGGCACTGACTTCAGGTATCTGTCCAGCTCTTTCTTGAAGGCAGCCAGGGGCTTATTGGCAATTCCCCTAATGCTTGATGGGAGGCTGTTGAACAGTTTTGGGCCCCCGGACACTTATGGTGTTTTCTCTTAGTGTACCAATGGCGCCCCTACTTTTTTATTGGCGGCATTTTGCATCGCCTGCCCAGTCAAGAGAACCTTGAAACTGGTCACAATTATTCACTGTCTCACCTTTTTCCTTCTTCCCATTCCCCGTCTACCCCTTATTGCCTACCCTTCCCTCTGTCCCTGCTGTGTGTAGATCGCTACATAAAGAGAAGGCACACTTCGACGCACTTTTCTCTCTCGTTGACGTTACTGTCCTGTTCTCGCAGCACACAAAAGCAGGCGAGACCCGAGATACAAAATATGCAAACATTTACTGCTCGCATAAACTCGTACAAAAAAGGCGAGAGGAGTCTTATATGTTGTATCTAATGATGGTTCTGCAGATGATCGTCCTGCGACCCGGTCTCACTAGATCTCCTCAAATGATAGAGCAACATTACCAAACAAAGAGGTGTTAAGAAACAAACAAAAAGTGAAATTCACTTGTTGTTTATTCCTGACATTCTCTTGTCGTTTATTCCCGTTTCCATGTTACATATTCCGGTCATAATTTTTTTTTTTTTTTTTTTTTTTGTAAATTTTTTACAGACTTTCTCTTGTCTTTTTTTTCTAGTTATTCCCATGTTATATATTCTAGTCATAGAATCTCTTGTCGTTTATTCCAGTCATAGCATTCGTTTCTGGTTTGTTACAGGCGTGTGCGAGTTCCCAGCGGAGTGGAGTGGGAAGTGGTTTCGGTCCGGCATGGGACAGGAAGGTCCCATCGTCATCACTAGAAGCAGCATCTCCAAGACCGGAGACTGTGAGGAGAAGGGCAAGTCTAACAGATACCTCGTCAAGGAGGAGTGAGTACCCATAAGAGTAACTATTGGGGATTACCTCTTGTCTTTACTTATACTGGGATTAGCCCTTTGTAGGTCGGGTTACGTTTTCAGTATTGTTAGCAAAGGAGCAATACTCATGGTGTCTTGTCTTCAGTATTGTATTTACAGCAACAGAGCAATGCTCGTGGTGCCTTGCTCTGTTGCATGTAGTTGGTATCTACTCTCTCTATTTATATATATATATATATATAAATATATTATATATATATATATATATATATATATATATATATATTATATATTATATATATTATATATATATATATATAATATATATATATATATATATGTCGTGCCGAATATGTAAAACTGGTCATTTAGCAAGAACTCATTTAAAATTAAGTCCTTTTTAAAATTTTCACTTATACGTTTAAAGATACATTTTTCATTAATGTTAATGTAAAAATTTATAATTTTGCACCAAAAGCAACTTAAAAAACTTACCTAACCTTATTATAACAAGAACAATTTATTTTAGCCTAACCCAACTAAATATATTTTATATTTGTTTACAATAATTTAATACTAAACAAACACAGTGAAAGTATATTTTTCTCGTTAGATTCAGAATGATTTTGGTGAAATTATTCCATACACAAATTTGCGCTTGTCCATATGGCAAGATGAGCGTTGCTATTTAAGCCAAGATCGCAAGTTCTGCCTATTCGGCACGACATATATAATATATATATATTATATATATATATTTATATATATATATTATATATATATAATATAGGATGGGGTCCACCTCTGGTGTAAATTGTGGGACCCATAGCCTCGGAGAAGTGGATAAAAAGGCTTCAAGGAAGAATATTTGGATTTCTTCCTGAAGCCATTTGAATATTCCACTTCCCTACCACCCATCTTTTAAACTATTTTTTTTTTACCAATAGGAATATTTTATTACATAATATGGTACAATTTAAGA